TTGTTATTTTCTCTGACACATCCTCTCTTCCCCCTCCACTCTGTATCTGAATTCCAGCATAATAACTTGTGCCAGCTACTCCCCTCGAGTGTCAAACATGATTGGTATGAACATACATTCTGTATACAATGCTATAAATGCGCGGTACAAAGCAGGCAGATAAGGGCATATTCATTTGTCGCTGATTGGCCAAATAGGGAACATTGGAGAGAAAGGAAAGACCCGAGGCCGTATTCATAAAGCTCAACACTAACAGCAGCGGATTGCACTAAATTTTCTGCTCAGTGATTTGAGCTTTTTCATAAATTGACTCAGGTTGTGATTGCCTGAAACACACTGCAGCATGCATACTCTCAGCAATTACTTCAGTGACAAACGATGGAAATCAACATGTTAATCAAGTCTTACATAGTTAACAGTCACGCTGATTATGTGAGTAGTAAGGGTGAGAAAAAAGGACACATTTGCCTTCAAAATAACATTGAAGGTTCATTCTAGCTGGAACAATAATCATGCTTTACACATAGCAAAAAGCTCTAACTTTAATCAAGTGAATCATGATATTAAACCTACAGTGAAGCACTTGTCTGTAGAATGTAGCATTGTTTAATTGTTTCTGATGGTAGGGGATTTGATTTGTAGAAAAATTTGACGATCCAGGTAAATCATACTGTGCTAGTAGCTCCACTTAATCACAATGCCTTGAGCTGAATACTACAGCTAACATAATCTGATTGTGCCTTCTTTCGCAATCAATCAGGGGCATCACACTGGGAACTTCAAGGGGTCGCCAAATTGATTACAACATATCCTGAGAGGAACTTAAACTTAAAACCAAAAATGTCATCCTCTAGTGGTTAAGTCAGGGGATTACCATAGCCAGCAGGAATAATCCTCTGTGAAACATAAATGTGTGAACCATATTTCATTGCAATCCCTCCACAAAATATTGAGATATTAGTCTGGACCAAAGTGGTGGTCGACCAGGTGACTTCGGCATCTGTTGGGTAAATGTCTGTATGTTGGTTACATAGTTTTGCACAAATAGAGACACAGGCAAAACTGACTGACTGCAACCAAGAACTATCTAGCCATTTGAAGCCAAGTCCCTGCTGGAAACACATGGAGTCTGGCTGTCTTTTGGCCATCGCTGAAAGCACATTTATTAGGGTAGTACTGGATGGGTACCTGGGCCACTGCTCTCCTGCAGAAGTGTGAGTGACATTAGGGTTGTAGCTACGGATTGAGCTAGCTGTACTCAAGGTTTGTCAGCTCTAAATGATTACAATATATAAGTGATAGGTGAAGCTGTGTGTTATGTTTACTGTACAGCCACAGGGAAATTAATCTCTTTAACATGTTTTTTTTTAAATCAATGACTTTGCTTAGTACATGACGAGTGATAAGTTTACCACCATTATTTTGGTGTAACAGATGATATGAATAGAGTTATTTGTAGAGTAAAGCTGCTGAAATCTGCCACCAAAATCTGCATCTCTACACAGCTTATAAGGATTGTTTCTTGTATACTTCCTGCCCATCACTGGGACAACACAGGGATGAAGTAAAAAAAAAAAAAATGAGTAAGGTAAAGGGCCTTGGTAGAGACCTAACTACTGGCCATATTAGAGTTACATCTGTACATCTAAGTGGCCAGAAACATGACTCCAACTGGGTAATGTACTGTATGCTAGTTGTAAGAAGACAATTGATATTTATCTAAGCCCCGATGTCCATAGTTACTATTGCTATGTCTGTATATGTCCATTACAGTGATAACGATAGCAGATAGCACATATAAATTTATAATAATACTTTGATTCAACAGAGAAATAAACAAAAGCAGGCTTCTCATTTATAGCTGATGACTGGGGATGTTATTGGCTAAAATAACATAAATTAAGCTAATGCTAATGCCAATGCTTAAACTCCTTGAGTCGGACCCTGTAAAAGGTTATTAAATACGTAAAGTTACTTAATGGCTGTATACCTACCTGATATAATGCTAAAGACCGAGGCTAAAGCTACATCCCAACAGTCGGACAGTGAAATATGACACATATGCTATTATTATTGGTATGCTCAAGAGATACAACATATCAGACACCAGTTTGATCCCAGACAGCATAGTGTTAGTAAGGCCTTACTTTTATATGGCATTTTAGGCCTGTTATGTACAGATTGTAGGGAATGTAGTTGCCATGCTTTAATAACAGGCTCTTTAAAGGTCCAGTGTGTANNAGAGGGTGTGAGACATTGTCCAAGATGGATTTATGCTATAATATGATCAGCAGCCACCGTTTGAAATTATCTGGAATGCATTTGGTGAATTGCTTTGTGTATTTTGAGGTGAGGTGGCCTGTTTCAGTTTGCAGTTTGAGTTTAAAAAAAATATATATTAATGCATTGTCATTAATGCACATGGATATTCTTTAGTCGTACAAATGCTTCTTTGTCCTGCCCACAACATGAAACATTGGTTCATTGTCCTCACCACCTTTTCATCTCCAATTCTATCTGTACTGAGTCTTTCTCCATCCGTCTATCTTTTTCCCACAAACACGCGCACACAAACACACTCACACACCTCCAGTTTGGCTGGGAACAGGTTTTGCCTCAGGGGCTCTGTCTTGCTCATACCCTATTACTAAGCTAATGAAAGCACTGAAAGGATCAAATCCAATGAAGCTGCTTTTCACACTGCTTAACCCTTGTGAAAACCTGTGACCTCTGCGCAAGAGCACACTCACGTACACATACATATACACAGATGATTAATACCTAGTGTCGTTAAGTATATACAACAGGGGTAAATGGAGAGTTTATGCACATGTATGTACAAACAGAAAACTGTCAGTGGCTTGTGCAACCCTCATTTGTGCACTTTTTTCCCATGTAATTGTTGTATTTGTGTGTAGTTTTACTCATGTACATGCACTGTTGATTGTTTGAATTATTGATTTCTTTATGAATAATAAATGTGTTGTGATGGCTGGAACACCTGACTCTGATTACCTGCTTATATGTAGGAAAGTGGGTGACTACTAAAATTCATGCAAACTTTCATAAAGCCACAATGTTTACATGCAACTGGTACAAATAACAATGCTGCTGTTATTCACTCTTGGGAGATTAAAAAGTTTCATACTGAACATGTCCCTTTTTGCTCATCAACTGATGGATTTCTGATATGTCTAAACTGAGCTCCATGTTGTCTGATCTTGATTCATAAGTTCTCGAACTTAAAGGTCGAGTGTGTAACATTTAGGAGGATCTATTGGCAGAAACTGAGTGTAATGTGCATATGTTTTCATTAGTGTATAATGAACTGACTATCGTTTTAGTTACCTTAGAATGAGCCGTTTTTTTTATCTACAAACGCAGCAGGTTGCCTTCACTGGAGTTCGCCATGTTTCTACAGTAGCCCAGAAGGGACAAACCAAATATTGGCTATAGACAGGGGCGTTTCTCTGCCACCGTAGTTTCTCTTTCATGTTTGGAAGAGGTTGGGGAAGCAACAATTCTATTTGTTTTTCTATGATATTCTCTCCAGCAACGAAAGCATGAATAATGTTTTTATGTTTCAGGAAAAGTCAACATGTCCTTTGTCAAGTCACCATCTGTTTGTATGAACAATGGGTAAAAGGACTTATATGAAAGGTGTCTCTCACAGTGACAAACCGACAGAGATGTATCACCCAACTCAGTTCCTCTCAGCTCTACAGAGCTTTTTAGCATCTTTCAGCTTAGTGTTTTGGTTTTACAGCCCGCAACTTTAGCAGCTCTCGTCAGCCTTGTTTTCAGCAGGCAGTTGTTTTCAGTGAAAACGCTCTGATAAACCCAATGTATAACTGGTGAATATAGTGGAGCATTTAACAGCTAAGAGACAGATATTTCCCTCAGGAGTTGGTGGAGACCAAAACAGAGCCTAATATTAGAGTTAATATTGGACTTGACTGGCATAATTTAATTAATGGTAATGGTTCCTGTTATTCAGTCTTATTTGACCATTTCTGTCATAATGAATCAATAAATACGATGTGGACTAGGCAAAGCAAAAATGGATGTGTTATGGCTCAGTCAAATATGTGGATTCAAACAAGTCCCTATACAGACCTCAGATAAGACAGCAATTGCAGTAAATCATAATCACTGACAGGTAGTTAAGCAGTCACATTTTTACACAACTATCTGTACTTTTTACTCTTTACATTTTCAAAAACAGGCTTGTTTCTTTAGTTTTAATCGATTTGAGGGGAATAATTGTTTATCATTGCACACTTTCCCAACATGAAGACTATTGTATAACACCTGATGTAACATGACAAAAACTACATAAACTATGAAAAAGGTGTAAACTACATAAATTATGTAAAAGACATAATGAGAGACTTGACCCTATTTGAAGTTTTGAAGCTTTGCACAGAAACAGCCGAGAAACCAAGAGAGTACTTTTGACTTTTATACTTTGAGTACATTTCAGAGCCTGTACCTGTTCAGTATCTGTACTTCTACTTGAGCAAAGAATGTGTATACTTTTGCCAGCTTTGCTTTCTATGCCCGCAATATGTACAATATAATATAATACAAAATTTCCGTAACAGTTAAACACAGTGATATCTCATGGCAAAACTTTTACTTATACAGCATTTTAAAGCAATTTATATGGAATAAAGTTCTTTTT